AAAACAAAGCAGAATATTAATGTCATCCGAATAAGACCTTAAAAGATTCCCTGCCTATAAATCTTAAATAAATCCAATCCAATTCAAATCCCCTGGAGCCATGTCTTTGTGGAATCACACTCTTTTTTATATCTTATCTCGAGCATTTCCGCTCTGTGGCACCTGTTGAATGGCACGTCAGATACCCTATCAGCGGCAGGACATTAAAATGTCCTGAAAATCGTTGGGAAATGAGCCGAAGTATTTGGTTTGTGTGGGCGTGGCAGGTGAAAAACGCACCAAAGTGATTTAGACAGCAGGGACCGACCGAAAAGGTGACGCCTTCGCATCAGCCTGTCAGTTAGTTAGTTTAAGGGAAAAATGGAGGGAAAACCAGGACGAAAGGTTTGAAAATACCAATGGAAAAGTCGAGGGAGTGGAGTGTGAAGCCCCATTTTCTCGTTTACGGGAAATTAATTAATGTGGCAACATGATTTAGTACTTCCCAGGTAAATAGGCGTTCCATAAATGTTAAAGGATTATTAGCTGACGGCACACGTGGCGTATGCGTAATTTGCTGTCGTCGACGGACTGACTTTCTCCCTTTCTCAGTCGTTCGCTCTTTGTCCCTTTCTGGCACATCCGCGCTCGCACAATTTAGAAAGCAACTTGAATTTCTGATGAATTGTTTATCTTCAAAAATGTACACAAAAACCAAGGGGCGTAATTAATTAGCCGGAAAATTACGCCCCAATTCGGGTATCCTGCTAATGTTGTTCCTGCCAACTTTGGTGTTATACGTTAGAAAGGAGGTATGGAAAGTATGTGAAGTGATTACTTAGTCGCTTTGCTAATTAAGCTGTACTTGAGTGGGAAAAAGGGAAGATGGAAATGCAGGGAACTGACCGAAATTATGAGGCGAATTCAATGAGATCCTTTGTGGCAAAGTTCTCTCAACTGAGGCAACAGGTAATATAGATTCCAACATAAAGCCAAAGTTATTTAACCCAAATAAAGCCGCAATACAATATCTATTTTATCTTATGGTTCTCACATATCTCTTTCAATTATTTGAATCAACTATAATTTAACTTATGTAGGGTTTAATTATGGCCTTATGTCTGTAATGTCTTCGGCTTAGGCTCATCATCCAAGTTATGCGTTCAACTGACTTGGAACTGCGCTCATGTGGCTCAATCAGTACGAAATTTAATCCCAAATTTATGATGCACTGTGGGAAATCTTCTTGTATCTTTTAACATAAAGCTCATCTTTGTAAAGGCGGTATGCCTATGCAATTTTGAAACATTTTTAACAATAAGACTTCCTTGATAAGTAACATTTTCTTTAACTGTCAAAATATTTGAAATTTATTAGGAAAAAAAAAGTGCGAAAGTTCTTTAGTCCTTCGTTGTTGGTAAAAAAAACTTCTACATCTTCTTTAATGCCAAGATTTTCAATTGTATTTTCCAGTGCAGAAAATGTACGAGAAGCCTTGACTGAGACACTGGCAGTGGGAAAACCCAACTACTGCGATGGCGGCGCACTCCATTTAATTTATGGCTCGCAGCAATGCGCCTGTCAAAATATGAGTGTCTGTGTGCGCAGTACTTGAGCTGGAGCGGCAATTTGTATGGCTCAGAGCTGGGTAAAAAGCATTGGTACATGTGTATCGTCGCAGTAGCAAAATCTAGCTAGACTAAGCTAGTACCACTACCCTTGGCTCATTACGATCATCCTCATCATCATCGTCATCATCCTCCTCATCAGGCCAGGCGTCTCTGTCAAATTGCTTAAATTTGGAGAAGGGCGAAGGATAAAATTCAGCTACATAAGTTGAGCGGCAGCAACTTTTCGCGGGCTGTTAAATTGAAGCATAATTCCGCCTGCAGTTGCAGCTGCTATGAAATATTGCCAAAAGCCAACGCATGTGGCAAGCATATGAAATTCGCAACAGCGCTTCAGACAAACGAAGCCAAGCAAAAATGTTGTATTTATGCAAAAAGCAAAATGAAAAATATATATTTTTCTTCCTTTTTTCCACAGCCTTGACGTGCAACTGCGCCAAGATTCTCCGGCTGAGTTGTAAAATGAAAACGGACGGAGAACAGTACAAAACTGAGGGGTAAAAAAAAAAACAAAAATAGTGAAAAAATAAATAAGAGGAGCCCCGGAGAAGAAAAAGGCAAATTGCAATACATCAAATGAGTCGTGGCTGTTGGGTCTGAAAAGGACGAAGGGGGCTTAGTCCGGGGTATGACAACTGCGACGGCTGCAGCCCTGACTTTATGATAAGAAACCAGAAAACAGACGAGCTCCAAGTGCCAGGCAAAAGGGAGGGGCGGCGGCGCCACGCTGCATTCCCAGATAGATGATGCATTCAAACAAAGTGCCGCTTGGCAAATTTATGCTTAAAATCGCTGATGCATCACTGTTTCTCATTCCTGTTTAAAGGGGTTTTGCTGCAGCAACGAAGGACTCTGACTCTACTCACATTTCACCCGCAGTGGCAGCTGATTGCTGACCGTCTCGCCCTCGTCGTTGATGGCGCTGCACGCATAGTTGCCGGCATAGTGCTTGGTAATCTTCTGGAGTACCAGACTCTGATTCGACCGTATGACCCGAGCTGATGTATTGTGCTCTAGATGAATTCCCTGAAAATTAAGACAGTACATGAGTAATAATTTTTATAGAGAAGGAAATTTAACAGCTATTTTCTCTGATTAGGGCAATAACACAGCGTAGTTCAATCTCTGATGCATTTACTGGATTTTATCACCAGTTAAAGCTCTCTAAAGTGCATTGTTTTGAATTTCGCAAAACCTGTTAATCTATACATGAAACTAAACTAATGCAATAATGGATCATTCAGCTATACTGCTGCCCAACTATAATCCGTTCTAAAACCACTCGGGTTCGAATTTCAATTTGCCAAAATCCGCTAAGCGCATCCGAAAGGCAAAAATTCCCCAACACACTCATGCAAACATGTTATCCCAATGGAGAGGAAGTGGGATGTTGATTGTGGGATGGGAACTTGGCCTGAGTGATTGCCAAGCGACTGCGGATTGCAGTTGAGCGACGGCAAAATCAATGCCGCAAATCCCAAAACTATTTTACCCAAAATGGCACCACCCATGAAACCAACCCCTGGCAACCAACCAACTAACCTACCAGCCACCCTACAAACCCTACTCCCTCCAGCAAAGAGACCACGAGAATTGAAATGAGCAAATGCAGATCTATGCATCAGGACATCGTTGGCGGTGACTAACGTAGGAACAGGCACCTCAACGCATACGCAACCTGCCATGTTATTGACACTTAACCAGGGCCGAATGCAAGGAGCCAGCCAAGCAGATGCCTTTCAGGGATTCCTTTCAGTGGTTTGGGCCGGATCCATATGGATTGGTCCCCAGACCTGCCGGGCTCACTCCTCCTGGCCAACGCCAGCGAACTGCGACCTACATTATGCAACCACAACAGTTTCCGCCATTGAGGATTCGATTGTACGTGACACTCGAAGTAAACATCGTCGCCTTCCTTGATATCATCCGGTGTCAAAGTTGAGCCCAAGCGTAACGTCACCAAGGGTGGATCTGCAAAGAGAGGAGCAAAGGACCAAGTCAATTAGCCATTCATGGGTTTGCGGGTGAAATCAAAGAGTAATGGAAGACTTAGACTTAAAAAAAAAAACTGAAAAGCAGTTGTTAACTTACTCATTTAAAGTCGTGCAAATAAAACACAATTCTTGTAATCTTATAATCTGATATGATTGAAACTAAAAATCCTTTGGGTTACCAATCATCTCCTGAACTTGTTGTGCTATATATCTTTCTATGTTGCAACTGACTTGTCATCACCCAAAATCCCGCACACTGTCATGATCACGCTTATTTAATAGTTTTTGCAAATATGAGCGATTTAGAGCAATAACTGGAACAAAGTGAAGCATCAGCCAAGAGTTATGAGGACATGGCAACGACATCCCGCCCATCGACCGCTGTTTGCCAACATGTGTTGCCGCTTAAGTCGTTTGAATTTGCTTAACGAGCCACAAACTTTGCGACAAACAGAGACCAAAAGCGGCAAGGACCTAGAGCCAGACAAGGAGCTTCAAGACCAGGACTAGGAAAAGGACCACGGCTAGGAACAGGAATAGGAGCCGGATTGGGACAAGGACAAAACTGAAAAGGGGGTTTTGGGGAAAATCAAGGGGCGCACGTGCCAACCTTAATATTGTTGAGTTATTGGCGGCCAAAAACCAAACGCCGACAGTCAAGAGTTGGGCAGAACGGAACCCAAGACCAGACCCAAAACCAAACACCAAGCCAAAGCCAAAAAGTTCCCTTCCGCCTCGGCTGGATGAAACTTTAGAATGGCCTGGAAAACTTTTCGCCCAGCTTTGGGTGGCATATTACTCGCCGCCCACTTATGTGGCACCCGTTTCTCAACGTCTGCCAATCAGGCAAAGTGCCCAAAGGGCTGTGAAAACTCTTTCGCTGGAAAAGTCGCGTCGCGCATTTCCGCACACATGTTGCAGGCCATTTTTGTGATTATCATTTACCGTTCTACCACGGATACCGGATAGCCCTCTTTGCCCCTTTTCTTCTTTGCCCCTTGCCTTCTACCACCCACAGCAATGCCCCGTTTCTTTGGCCCAAAACGACCATCGATCGATGCCGGAGCGGAAGTCAACGGTTGCTCAGAATTTATGTGCCAGCGAGGCCTGTTGTATTATGGCAACTGCCTCGCGGGATTTGCCAAGTCTACAAATATTAAAGATGTTTTTGCTGCGAAATTCAAGAAACTTTTTTCGATGATATTTAAAGAAGTTTAACATTTTTTAATCCAAATCTTTAATAGGAATAGAAAACTAAAAAACAAGAAAGAATAATAATTAAAATACCACCACAAAGGCTTTACCATTTTATAGTGTTGCAAAGCAGAACCAAAAGTCATTTTCCAAGACTAAGTAGGCCCTTTTTTAGGGCTTTTTTGTCTAATTAATAAACTTAATAGGCTATGAGATAGTGCGTATAGATGTAGTCGGACCAAATGACAGAATACTCCTCATTCAGTGGGAATACTTCGAACAACTCACATAGACGATTTCAAAAAAAAAAAATACGAAAAAATATAACCAAATCTTTAAACTTAAAAATTTAATCAAATCTTGAAACTTTGACTTAACAAAATGCCACCTAGAAAGAGAGTGGCCCATACCAAAAAGAAAACTGATGACAACGGCGACCAGGTTGTTCATGGCAGTCAGGTGCCAAGTTGGCTAACCCCAACCAACTCGGAGGCACGCCTCAGTGATATATATGAAACTAATCTGATTTACAGAAATCAAAGGCCGCAGGTAATGACAAGAAACGCAGGGAAATTTGATTTAAAGCCAAAACAATCTGAGCAGAATTTGCTTTACGATGATGGGGGACGGGGAAATAGTAGGGTTTTCCCACAATCCTCGGCTAATTATGACAGGCCACTTACCAGTACTACGCAGAATACCATAAATACTCAAGTTCGTAAAATCGATGAACCCTACTCATATGGATCTACAACGCCAAACTTATCCAGGCGTTCCCAAAGAAACCTAAACAAAAACAAGGATACTTTGGATAATACATCAACACAACTTCCCATATGACCCAGATGGCCTAATGTAGAATCCGATTTCGAGAGTGCGGATACCAACCGCGGCAGGGCTAATAGAGATAGTAACGCAGAAGGCAAGTTATCATGCAATAACGCAATCCGTAAAAGCAAATCAAAAGTTGAATCTTACTTTTCGGAAGCAGAAGGGAATCCAAATGTTAGTTTCGGAAATAATATTCCTAGAAAGGACGTTTCTACATATTTTTCGGACGCTGGGAACAGGACCACGAGAAAGCGATCAACTACAACAAAACAATTTTTAATACCCGCAGTGCCCGAGGAAATTAAAAAATATAACGAAGAATGTGTGAAAAAAGCTCAAGAATTGAAAAATAAAAAAGCCCCGATTCCAGATATAAGCAGTAAAAACGTGGAAAACAAGACAGCTGCGAAAATCGGCTCACTGAATTATAATCCGGCAGAGAAAAATACAAAGACTAAGCCATATTTTTCGACTGTTGATGCCAATATAAATCTAAATACGAAAGAAATCCTTCAGGTGAAAACTAAAAAAGAAAAGGATCTACAAGAAGCACTTTATCCGAGTATGCCTCTGCTTTTTGATGATATCAAACAGAAACCGCCTCCACCCAAAAAAGTGATTTCTGATTCAAATTACCGATTGGATGAGATTTCCCGCCAAAATGCTTCTAAAGAAGCCAAGAAGAGTGATAAGTTTTCCTCTAATTTCATAACTAAATCGTCTACACCGAAAAATGGGCATAATGACTTAAGTTTCCGATTAGATGAGATGAGCCGGAAAAATGCTTCTAAGGAAGCTAAGCGCAGAGATGAGAAGTTTCCTTCAGTTATTATAACTAAACCGTCTACACCCAAAAACGTGATGACTGATTCTCGATCAATCGAATCTCGATTGGATGAGATGTGCCGCGAAAATGCTTCTAAGGAAGCTAAAAAGAGAGATGAGAAGTTTCCATCTGTTATTATAACTAAACCGTCTACACCCAACAACGTGTACCCTGTTTTGAAATCTAAATTAGATGTGCTGAGCCGCGAAAATGCATCTAAGGAAGCTAAAAAGAGAGATGATAGGTGTTCATCTAATCTTAACCTTAATATCTTTCCCAAGTACGGGACTCAAAATAATGAAAATGTCAATATTAATAATCATCCAAAACTAGAAGCCATTCAGAACTTTCAAGTTAGTGAAAACGTTGATCCTATTTTTGATTTTGACCCAGTAAACAATTTCAGTTATGAGATCAAAAACAAAAACCAAAATCACTTTGATATCAACCCAACTGCCGAAGACAATAAAAGCATTGATCAAGATTTTTTTGATTTGGTTTCCGCTCTTGGCGAAAGTCCAGAATCTATTAAAAAGTACACAAATATTGAAGACGAAGTAATTGATAAACGTCTTAATGATGAAATTCAATCTATATATGACGCTATGAATATTAATAATAATATCTCAGACCCATTTCAAAACCCTGAACCGTTAAGTGAGGCTGAAATTGATGCTCGTCTTCAGTCAGAGCTAGATTCTTTACCCATGGTGGAGCCAGAACGTCCACTGGAATCAACCCGAGATAGTATACTGCAAAGACCACGCGATGCAGTTCAAAATTTCCCGGAATATAACAAACTCCCAAGGCAGAATGAGCTATTTAATCATCCACTTGCAGCAACATCCACTAACCACATGATCAACAATGCCATGGCGGTGGTAGGTCCAGGCCTTTTTCCGGGTCCCAGTAGAGTAGCTCCTAATCATCATCGCACCTTAACACAAGTGCCGATAGTCACGCGATTGAAGGGAGCACAAGGTGAGGATATATCTGTAAAGTATACCACAGGACCGGATGGGCTTATCACCAATGTGCAAATGGAGCAGCCATCGATTGCAAAGGGCAAGGAACTGGAGAGTTTTACCGCCAGTCAGCTGCACCAGATCTTGCAGAGTGGTCAACCATATATGTCACTGCCTATGACCAATCCTGGAGCTATGCCCAAAGAACCATTAAAAGTCAAGGATACAGGTATTCTACCCGAACAAGCGGTTGAAGATGAGGAGGTAGACTACGAGGAAATCGGTGTGGCCGATACCTTTGCTGCTTACTGGCCCAGCAAGCTCAAATTTGGAAAGGCACATCCCGATCCCGTGGTGGAAACGGCCACATTGTCGTCTGTAGAGCTACCCGACATCACTTACCAACTGTCATTGCCCTCGAAGACCATGGATTGTTTGAGTGCCCTTCAGCTGGAGGCTGTAGTCTATGCCTGCCAGGCTCACGAGCAAATCCTGCCCAGTGGTGACCGAGCTGGTTTTTTACTTGGTGACGGTGCCGGTGTGGGCAAAGGTCGAACTATCGCAGGAATAATAATGGACAACTTCATAAAGGGCCGCAAACGTGCCCTTTGGGTCTCCGTCTCCAATGATCTTAAGTTTGATGCCGAGAGGGACCTAGCCGATATAGGAGCCAGCGAAAAGATCAATGTGGTGGCCATCAGCAAGTTCAAATACAGCCGCATTGATTCGGAGGAAAACGATAACTTTAAAAGGGGTGTGATATTCTGCACCTACACCGCCCTCATCGGAGAATCTCTAACGGCCAATTCCTCCAAGTATAGGACCCGACTCCGCCAGTTGGTCCAATGGCTGGGCAAGAAATTCGATGGAGTGATTGTCTTTGACGAGTGCCATAAGGCCAAGAACCTAAGTCTAATGAACGTTGGTAAGTCCACCAAGACGGGAACTACAGTTATGGAATTGCAACAAATGCTGCCAAAAGCAAGAGTGGTCTATGCCTCGGCCACGGGGGCCAGTGAACCCAGAAATATGGCATATATGGAAAGGTTGGGTCTCTGGGGTTCCGGTACCGCCTATCCAGAGTTCTACGATTTCGTAAATGCCGTTGAGAAGCGGGGCATTGGAGCTATGGAAATCGTGGCTATGGATATGAAGTTGAGGGGAACCTATATAGCTCGTCAGCTTAGTTTTAAGGATGTAAGCTTTCGCATCGAGGAGGTGCCCATGTCGAAGGAATTCCGCAAATGCTACAACATGGCTGCCGAGCTCTGGGCCGAAATAAACAAAAAGTTTCTCAAGGCCTGTCGCCTGATGTGCATCGAGAATAGGGTCCAGAAGATTATCACCTGTCAGTTCTGGTGCGCCCATCAGCGTTTCTTTAAGAACCTGTGCATCGCCTCCAAGGTGAATCATGTGGTCAAGATGACACGCCGAGCCACGCGAATGGGCAAGGCAGTGGTGATTGGCTTACAATCTACTGGAGAGTCACGCACCATAGAACATCTCGATCGTCATGATGGCAGGCTGTCAAACTTTGTGTCTACCTCGAAGATGATAATCCAATCGTTTGTGGAGAAACATTTTCCAGCACCCAAACGCGACTCCTTTCACACTCTACTGAATACCGGACAATTTGTGCCGGAGACACGTTCTTGTCCACAAAAGGCAAAAAGAGCTAAGATGAATTCGGAGTGGTTCGACGATGACATGGATGCCGAGGCCGGGGAGAGCGATATTGAGATGTATGAGAGCAACTGGAGGCCAGATGACGACCGTTTGAAAACTGGACAGAAGCGACGGGGACGTCCACCCAAGGCCAAGAGTATGTAGATATAGATCGATTAATAAACTGATTATATATTTTGGTAATAACCCCTTTTCAATAGTGGAGAAGATCACCATGCAGGAGCGTATACTGGTGCACCTTCACAATAATATGAAGGCTCAGGATAATGATGCCGACGCCACGTATACTTTTGACAACACAAAGCCACAAAAAGCAAATATCACCGAACGAGATGTGGAACGTTGTATCAATTCCCGTGAGTTACTGCTGGAAAAGATCGAGAACTTGGGAAGGAAATTGCCACCCAATACACTGGATAAACTAATCTCAGAACTAGGTGGCACCAATATGGTGGCAGAGATGACAGGCCGTCGTGGAAGAGTGGTACGATCTGATGGCTACAAGTATGAGCCACGTGGCGAGGATGACTCAACGATGGACCTGGTCAACTATCGGGAGAAGCAGCGCTTTATGGATGGCAGTAAACACGTGGCCATCATTTCAGAGGCGGCATCTAGTGGAATTTCTCTACAAAGTGACAAGAGAGTGTCCAACCAGCGTCGTCGTCTGCACATCACACTCGAACTACCGTGGAGTGCAGATAGGGCCATCCAACAATTTGGACGCACTCATCGCTCCAATCAGGTCAATTCACCTGAATATGTATTTGTGATTACAGATCTGGCTGGGGAGCGGCGTTTTGCCTCCACGGTGGCCAAGAGACTGGAGAGCTTGGGTGCTCTGACCCAGGGCGATCGACGTGCCACCGATGCCAGGGATCTTTCCCAGTTCAATATCGATAACAGCATTGGTCGCAATGCTCTGGATACTGTGATGCAACAGCTAGTAAACGCTAAGCCTGTGGATCCTGCCGAGATACCCCAATCATATGAAGGTGATTTTCTTTACGATTGCTCAGTGTCGATGGCCGGTGTGGGAATGCTTAATGTACGCGAGGAAGACAAGGTTAAGGTGTTCAGCGTAGAGAAGGATAGTAGTAACATATCCAAGTTCCTTAACCGAATTCTCGGCTGTCGCGTGGAGATCCAGAATGCTCTGTTCAAATTCTTTCTAGACAAGATGTACACACTGATCATGCAAATGAAGCGCACGGGGCGTTTCGATCTCGGAATCCTAGATCTGGATGCCCATGGAGCCAGTGTTAAGTCCGTTAAGTTGATGAGGTTCATTAGGAATCATGCCACTGGAACTGCAGCCACTGAGCTGCACACAGTGACAGTGGAACGGGGCATGTCATTCGAAGCAGCTTTGGCCAAGTATGATTTTATATTAAAAAACTTATTTAAATAACCCTAATCCTTCCGCAGATATCGAAAGGAGGGCCAGCACGAACATGATGGCTTTTATATTCTACAGCAGCTGCGGCATAATAAGAACGCCTCCATTTTGTGTCTGCAATCACAGCCCAATTCGACAGATGGATCCACTGGAAAGGTCAATTTGCAAATCTTTCGACCCAATACAGGTCCCCAAGTGCGCTTGGAGTCACTGAACTCTATTGCATCACGATATATAAAGGTAAAGCCAGAAGAGGCCCGTGATTTGTGGCAGAAGCAGTTCGATTTGTGCTTGAATACCTGCTCCCATCTATACTGGAATCGGAAGTGTCCGTGTCCGACGGCCTGTGAAGTTGGACTACGAGTTCGCACCTACCACGTGCTCTCTGGGTTAATGCTGCCTATTTGGGACCGAATCGAACAGCTTATAGACAAAAGCGGACATAAGATCCAGATCATACGCGTCAAGACCGATGTTAATAAGAAGATTGTGGGCACGGTTGTACCGCATGCAGTCTATAATGATCTGGTGAAGGATTTGTCCACGGACTCTATCGTGGAGAGCCTTTAAAAGTTCACCACCACCACCTCACATACCCTATATGTATGTATATACATTATATATATATTTATAGCATGCAATCGACGCAGCCAGTGCTCTTCTATTGCCACTTTAAAAATATCAACTCAAATTGTGGCATTCAATGCAATACATGTGGCGTAAGCTTTCGCTTTTTCAAAATGCCAGGCACGCTCCACCAGCTCCACCCAGGAGGAGCAGCACCACGCCGCTGTTCCCGGCCATAAACAATGGCCACAAAAGCACATACGGGAAGACACTTACAGCTCGTCTGCGTGCGTATGTGATTCATATGTATTGTCTGCAGTGCTGCGGGGTCTGCTACATAAGCACCGGAAAAAATAAAACTTGACATCAAAAAATATATGGATTTTAATTTAATGAGAGTAAGAACTAAGGTTTTCCATTGATTTTAAAAACCATTTTCAAGGTCTTTTCGGGTTATTCACTGATTTTTAAATTTCTGTATTGCTTAAAAAACATAAATATTTTTAATTTTTCGTGCAGCATTTATTTCCTCAGTGCTGTTTCTTTTCCAGTTCTGCACTCTTGGGGGAATCTGTACAACGTCTGTGATTGCATTGCATGTTTTGTCTTGTTTCCATTGCTAGGAGACCAACTAAGGCTGCCCCTCTCGGTTACATTATAAATTTTAAAACGAGCCAGTCGCTTACACTGTGTGGCACACATGCGAGATATAAACAAAATTATACAATGGCAGTTGGATGGGAAAAGGGGAGCCTAAGAGTATGAGATGGGCGGCAACGCGTGGCATAAAGCATGACCAAATGGCCTTGGCAAATGTCGTGCCTAAGGAGCCAAAACGCAGTTGGCATAATAACTCACGCGTGATGCAGATATCGTATTCTAACGGCAACTGCCAACAAAAACAAAGACATACTCGTAAAGATGCCGAGGCATATAAATTTACTCTGTATCCAAAATTAGAACAAACCGGAATTTATCTGCTTATATGTTAGAAGAGATAGAAGTCACTAAGAAGAAATTATGGTAAGCATTCCTTGGAAAAATCATTTGAGATAAACTTTTAAGGCAAGCGTAGATTTTCTTTTTATTGTCTGGATTTATTTTACAATAATTAGTGTTTCTCAAAGTTAGTGCTTGAGACCTTATTTTTTGTTTTCTATCTAATTTATGTCCCTGTTAGTAATCATATATTTGAGAATATTTTCTTCCAGAACTACATCAATATCTTAAAGATAAATTAATAGATAAATTGCGAGACATTCTTTTTGTCCTACTTTAATATTTGTTTTCAAGATTCTTTAAAGTTTAGCATTTATTTGGAAATTAAAAAGATTATTCGTGAGTCTTGACAACAAAAAAAAAACACCTTACCTACCCGAACACAAGAATTTTCCCAAAAAAACACAAACATTTGGGCGCACACTTATATGTATATGGGTACGTGCCGATCATAAAGTTTATTTGCGCCAACGTAGCAACAAAAAACAACACCGTAAGGACCAAAAGGAGCACCGTCAATTGCTTTAACGTGAGCAAAAACAAACAAATAAAAAATAATATTCTAAAACATAAAATATGAGCCCGGAAAGTATGTGTGGGGCATAAAAAATATATAATCATATTACGCCTATATACACATCTATATGCATATACGAACAGACGAATTTTGTTGGGCGTAACCAAACATTTTTCGAACGGGCCGAGGGGGGCGTGGCAACTTCACAGATTGAAGTAACGAAAAAATTCATATTTTAAGAAATGAAAAGCAAAGAAATGCTATTACGTGATGCCCTTGGAAACAGAAGCAGAAAAAAAAATAATGGGAATGGGAACAGAACAGAGGACGGAAATTTTTTTGGCCATGCCAACCATGGCGTATACGTAACGCAATCGAGTACGACTCTTTTTCCCATTCCGACACTTTTGTTTCGCACTTTACGATGTCCGCAGTACTTCTCTGATGGTTATGTCGGGGTTATGGAATACAAATTGAAGTGGCTTTAAATGGGATTTACAATTATTGAGAGATTTCATTAAAATTGCAGGTAACGAACAACCAAAAAAACCAACTGGCGGTAAAACAATTTCGGACGCTTTTGGGGCTACTTTACAAAGTTATTTTTTATTTATTTTTATTGGAACAGGGCCGCAGCCAAAGTCCTTCATTTAATTTAAGCGACTGCCATACATTTTGTTAGCCCACATATTTCATTTGTTGGTCTGGCCCCCAAGCCTTTTTTTGGCCCACCGGAACGCTACAGTGTTTTGGCCCTTTTGGCAAATTATTCACAATTTGTCATTTGTCTTTGATTTATTTGCATTTTAAAGGCTTTCAACGGCAGCGATGGCGATGGCGACATCGCCGCCGTAATAAATTTCAGCCTGGTCTTATTCGGAGCCCAGGACTGTCTACCTTTTGGTAGCTGTCGGCAATGCCTTTCCCTTGCCACTTCTTGGTTTCATTTTCCCTGAGCGTTTCCTTCGGGAAAGCAGCCCCTTTTCCATTTCCATTTCACTCATACTTTAGACTTAAGCACAATTTGTAATACTTACAAACGACATTCAATTTCCACATGGTCTCCAAATACAGGCCATTCACATTTGGATTTTCCGCACGGCATGTTATCGATTTGCCATCGTCGTCTGTGGTCGGCACAAAGCTCAGCTCGGAGCGTGTCGAGTTCTTTGATATGTCGTCCTGCAAAAAATCAGAAGAAAAAGAAGCAACGCAAAAAAATATAAGAAAATGTTTCTGCATTAATTAAGTTTTCCCGCCAACCAAAAATGCCCCGAGACTTTGGCTAAGACCTTGCCTTAAGGGGCTTGGGGTTCTTTGTGTTTTTTGTTTGCAAATTTGTCGAAATATTTTATGTTTGCAATTTAAAATTTATTGGTATGTTTGTTCGGGTTTTATGTGCCACGTGTGGGTGTGCTTTATTTGGGGTATTATAAATTTAATGGCAGACAGGGACACCAACAAAAAGGCCTCACACAATTAGTTGAGCTTCGCTCGCCTTCATATATATGGGTATAGTTGGTATGGCCATAAAGTGTTTTACCCCGAGATTCCTCACCATGTGTCTCGCTTTGTTAGCAGTTTACACATTGCTCAAATCGCTTCAAGGCAAGGCTTCTGCCAGATATGTGTTTCGGTGCTCGGGTTATTGGGTGCTGAGGGTGTTAGAGTGCTGGCAGTTAGCGGGAATATAAATCCTTGTCTTTAGGGGGCGAAATATGATCGATTGGATTTTATTCGAAACAATTTAGGTTTACTTTAAGGGTCATAAGATAAATGGATAGAGCGTGACCACTCTAGCTATGGATACTATAAAGAAATCATAACAAACAAGTCTAAACTTGTTAATTAAGGGATTTTATTTGCAATAGTCAGTCGTCGTAATGTCGTTTCAGAAGCCTCCATTTGAGCTAAATTAGAGTAATATTTTAGAAATTTACATTTTTCAACGTTGTTGTTTCCCTTTGCCTTAGCTATTTCAATTCGTAGGCTAAACTTCTCAATTAGACCGTCTGCGGGGCTTTGATTAATGCCGGAGGCTTCCACAGCTAAAACACTCCGCCAAAGCCCACCCACAAACTATGGGCCCGAAAAGGGGGCCAGACACAGACATATATTAGAAACCCCAAAGTAGGGTATGAAAAGGCATGTAAAACATGTGGGATGGCAGGACGGCGAGGACTGGAACCTATGCAGGACCTATGCCGCATTACGGCAACTTTATGCTACATGAAAACTACTGAAAAACATTTCCGGTCTTTAAAAACATTGGTTGGGCCAGGAGCTGGCCAAAACGGCAAAGCAATCAGCGTGTATGCATATAAGCGGATAGACATGGACATAAACAACGGACCCAGACCAGAGAGACCCGGGTTAGGATATACCTAAACCAGGACTCGGCTCGAGGTCCCGACACACAAAAATGAATTGCAACAAAATTGCGCCAAAACTCCCATAAATTTGTCCAAAGTTGAAGAGAAAAAAAACCAGAAAAAAAGAAAACAACCAAACAGAAAAATATTTACAGTACACCTTATTTTGGATACCCTAACAAGGGACTTTAATGCAAGAGAAGAGTTTGCGGATATGTCAACAAAATAATGCTAATAAAATCCTATAAATACGATACAAAAGGCAAAAACAAATAAGGCGTTTTCAACTTATTTATAAGGTTTTAGAAAAATATTTTAAAATATAAACCCTAAAAGTTAGGGTGCCCCATAAATCAGACTAGTTTCTCTAGACTGCAAATTGCCGTTGAAAGGGTAAAACAAAAAAAAATGAAGGGAAAAGTGGGTGGGCCAAAGGAAAATGCAAAGCGGACTAGAATCGTTTGTGTATTGTGGAGTTTATATCACATTATCTGTGTTTATTCTAACCAAGTTGTGAGGGTTGACTGGGGCCACTGGACTAGGTCCCAGCTGCTAGTGTGAACCACGCCCAGGGACAACAAGTGGGTGGTACTGTAGCTGGTACTGGTACTGGTTTTGGTTCTGATTCTGTTTTCTGTCTGTCTCTGAACTATACTATACATCCTCAAAATTGTAGATGGGGTTGGTGGTCAGGAGTTACGAGCTCCGTTTGTTTGGCATGACTGTGCAAACACAATAAGTTATCGAGCTGAACGTGAGTCAGTCAACAGCAGCAGCATGGAGCCATAGCCATAGCCAAAGCCATAGCCAACTACCTGCGTCAATTGCGGTCACTTCACTCCATGGAAAACCCAGTATATATGTATGATTACCTACGAATACGTATACGAATACGCCCACTCACCTTTGTGCGTCGTAATTGCCGTTTTCCCTTGTACCAGGTGATGATGGCATTTGGCCGAGAGCCGGAGGATTCACAAGCGACCTCATAGCGACGATCAGCAATCATCGAGTTGGGCGGCTCCAGGATTTTCACCACCAGGGGCTTCACTGTAATTGGACAGGAAGAACATTCAATTCAATGCAATTGTAATTAAAACTGTTTACCATAATATTTCATGGTCTCATAATTGCAGTTCGTTTTGTCTGGCAATCATTTTGAACTCCGGACTTTGGACCCCCCAAAGGCTTCACATTTATTTACTATAGAAGGAGGGAAAAAGGGGACTGTGTGTGTTTGTGCCAGTCAGTATCAACAACAATTTGTGTCTATTACGACTCGACAGCTCTCAAGTGCTGCACTTCCTGGCAGGATTATGACTTTGTCCGGCCTTCCGATGCCGTGTCTGCTGCTCGTTGATACTGGACTCCTTGAGCTCCTGGGGCATTGTGTTCCACGTGGACGGAGTGGTAACGAGGCCACGGGCTTATGGGAACACGATGGCCTGACATTCAAGAGTTCACGCCCACATCGACAATGTTGTTCTCTCGTCATTTAGCATATAATTATTTAATGGCCCTTATAATGTTGCATTTAACGTTATGGTAAGGCTGTGCGTTGGCCGGAAAATTTATGCTATATGTTTTCAAATTTTGAACTTTCCCTATTAGACTTTAAAGATAGCGTAATGAGAAATCTTTCAATTTACTTTACAAACTAAGAACACTTGTTTCCAAATTTAAGACTAAATCTGTTAGAATATTCCTGCTAAGTATTGGGAAAACAACCAAAAGTTATATCTAAATACTTTAAAAAACATCT